TCTCTGGGATCATGGGCAATAAGTGGCTTGATCAGGAGCCAAAGAGGCCGTTCATGGGAGGCAACTTGGGGTCTCATTGGGACAGGGAGGAAAAGGCCGGCTCTACCCCATCCCGTGAGGCCACGCATGTTTCATCACTGCAGACCCAAACCTGACTGTCAAATGGCCTCTAGAGGATGACGGCCACCAGGCCGCCAGGAGGAACAGGCCAAGGCACGAAACCTATTTCCACCTGGGGTTGCCCGGCGCCGGTAATCTACTGCAGGGACCGGATGCATTTCTGCCAAAAGCCGCTGGGTTTCGAGATTTGTTTCTGAGTCTCTGAGGTCATGGCCATTAAGCAGCTTGATCAGGAGCCAGAGGGGCCATGCCTCCAATTATATAGCTGAGCCAGAGGTGGTTTGTGGGTTTGTCTCCCACATACCTAACTTTTGGCCATTTACTTTTTTGGTAAACTTTGCCCCAAGTTTTTGGGGTCTTGTCAAAGGCACAGCAGCAATTTTGGAGTATCTGGAAGTCTGAAGGCGCCTTCAGGCTTCTGATGAATCACCTCACTTGTACAGATTGACTTGCTTGCGGTACCATACCCCCTGAATTATTCTTTTTCAATTTGTTTATTAATTTTGTTTTTGGACCACACCTTGAAGTGCTCAGAACTTACTCCTAGTTCTGTGCTACTCCTCGAAGTACTCAGGGAACCACGTGATTCTGGGATTGAATAAGGGTCAGCTGCATACAAAGTAGGTGCCAGTACTATCTGTCCAGTCCTCCGATTTGTGTGTGTGTTTTTTAATTCTAAGAATCATGTTTTACAAAACTGCTAATGGTAGAATTTCATATATAAAATATTCCCAGGAGCGATAGCACAGCGGGTAGGGCATTCGCCTTACAAGCGGCCAACATGGCCGACCCGAATTCAATTCCTCCGCCCCTCTCGGAGAGCCCGGCAAGCTACCGAGAGTATTCGATATGCCAGACACAGTAACAATAAAGTCTCCAATGGAGACATTACTGGGCCCGCTCGAGCAAATCGACGATCAACGGGAGGGCCTTTACCTTACCTTTACCTTACACACTTAACAATTTTCTCAGTGCCCCCAATCTTATCCACCCACTTCCCCCTAGCAGTATACTTCCTATTGAAGACCAGTTCTCTATTTCTGTTTCCTTTGGTCATCTGTCAACCCCATACTATGTTTTCTTATATGAGAGAGATCATTATGTCTCTGTACCTGTCTTCTGACTAAATTAACTCAGCATGATACTCTCAAATTCATCCATGTATCATAAAATAAAATGAGTTAATCCTTTCTTATAATCAAATAGTATTCCATTGTGTCAATATACATAGTCTCTTTGTCCAGTGATCTCTTCTTTGACACTTGTGCTATGTGAGGATTTTATCTATTGTGAATGAGCACAGGAGTGCAAATGAGCACAGGAGTATGCACAAATGTACAAAATACATTTCTACTCAATGTATTCAGTGAGCGTAGGAGTACAAATATATTATCTGAATATAGCTTATAGGCTGTTAGGGTAAATGACAAGAAGTGGGATTTTTGGATGATATGGGAAACTCAATCCCCAGTTTTTTGAGAAGTGTCTATAAATTATTTCATATTCTCTGTGTGATCAATTACTTTTGGTGTTTCTATTATAATATTGTATGACACTAATTACTCATTTAAATCTTTATCAAAGAGTTTCCATAGTTGTCATGTAATTAGTGTCTTAAGGCCTTTGTCTTAATCCTTCATTGTGCCTGATCGCCAAGAACTTCTTGACAACAGCCTTATTCAAACATGCCTAAAAATTACGTGGAAATTGATAACCACAAGTGTCAGGAAATCACAGAATTTGTACTCATGTGAGTCTGTGAAACCATTGTGAGTTTGCATTGATGAATGCCCTGCTGTGGCAATACTACCAAGGTCAAACGTGTGTGTTTATAGCAACAGTAGCACCAACCCAGTCTGTATGATTAAGGAGGATTTGCATTTGGGAGACGTTAACAACAACCTTTTGGTCAAAGTCAAGTGGAACTGGGCAATGTCTTATAGTGCCAAGTCAAGGACGTTTGGTAACATCTGTGGGCCTGAGACACAGTAAAATATTTAAGTATGAAAGCTGCCACAACAGGGAAGCAGTGCATCAAATTTAGGCAGTTTCATATTTAGTTCACAATACCCTTGACCTTTGTATTAATGTAATTCTTAAAACATTTTAAATTAGATTTATTTTTTATTTATATTTATTCACTTTTGTTTTGATTTTGGGCAACACCCAGTCATGCTCAGGGCTTATTTTTTTTGTAGGAGTACTGCTATTTATTCAGCCACTGATTAGCTGATTGAATTGTGCATGAACTCCCAACTTACTTTTTTTTTCATTTTTTATAATTTTATTTCTTGAATCACCGTGAGAGCTGTTACAAAGCTTTTGGGTCTAAGTCTCGGTCATACAGTGAAATACCCGTACCTTCACCAGTGCCCATTTTCCATCACCAAAAACCCTAGTATACCCCCATCCCACACCCTCCTCCCACCTGTGGGGCAGATGATTTCCACATTACTCTCTCTACTTTGATCACATTCAATATTTTGACACCAGACCCACCATTATTATTTGAGATTTTACCCCAACACTCAGATCTGCTGAAAAGGCAACAATAGACAATTTGTGTTCTATTGCTGATTATGAATAACATATGATGTCGCGTGGCTGCAGTAGGGCCATGTGATTTTGAAATTCCGAAATTTTAACACTTAAATCTGGAGGGATTTCTGCCAAAAGCCACAGGGTTTCAAGATTTGCTCCTGAGTCTCTGGGATCATGATTGTTGAGCTGCTTGATCAGGAGCCAGAGAGGCCGTTCGTGGGTGATGACTTGTGGTCTCATTGGGGTGGGGAGGACAGGCCCGGCTCCACCCCATCCCATGAAGCCCAACAAGTTTCACCACTGCGGGCCCAAGCTTGACTATCCAATGGCCTCTGGAGGATGGCGGCCACCGAGCCGCCAGGGGGAAACAGGCGGAGGGACAGCACCCTTTCCCCTCTGGGGTGGCCCGGTGACAGTAACCTACTGCAGGGTCTGGACACATTTCTGCCAAAAGCCACTGGGTTTCAAGATTTGTTTCTGAGTCTCTGGGATCAAGGCCATTAAGCAGCTTGATCAGGAGCCAGAGAGGCCATTCGTGGGCGATGACTTGGGGTCTCGTTGGGGAGGGGAGGAAAGACCCGGCTGCCCCCCCATCACATGAGGCCCAACATGTTTCATCACTGCGGGTCAGGGCTTATTCTTGGCTCAATGCTCAGGGAGCACCCTGGCAGAACTCAGAAAAACATATGGGTGCTGGGGATTGAACCCAGATTAGATATGTGCAAGACAGGTGTGTTACCCATTATACTATCTCCCCAGCCTCAGTTTTATGTCATTTTATAAGTTATCTAACATATAATTATTTACTAGATCTTTTATATACCACAATTTAAAGGGGTCAGGTGATGAATATAATTGGATTGGGAGGTATTGGTCCACACCTTGCTATGCTCATGGTTTTTTCCTGCTTTTGGGGTCAAGAATCTCACCTGACAGTTGTTGGGGGACAATGTGTGGTGCTGGAGATCAAACCTGGGCCAGCTGTGTGTAAAACAAGTGCCTTATTCATTGTGGCCCCTACTTAGGGCCCATATAGTTGGATGTTTAATGGTGAAACATAATATTGTTATGTATTTATAAAAATACATACACATAAAATAATACAGCACTTTTATAAGTGATATTTCAAGTAAAACTTAATTTTTTTAAATTGCAGTAGATTTTGCTTATATTACATCTTGTTGTATTGCTTTATTATTCTCTAAGCATATTGTCTTTCGTTATATCTCCTCAAATAGAAATATCACTCCTATTTCTTCTCTGCCTATGGAACTAATAATTCTCTAATATATCTAAATTTTTATAAGCGTTATAAATATTACTTCTTGAGACATTCCCTGGTGATTCATAGACAGAATTAACTCTTTCCTTTTCTCTATCTTTTTTTAATTAACAGTACTTTTTGGTTTGGGGATCACACCTGACAGTGTTCAGAGCTTACTCCTAGCTCTGTGCTCAAGGAATGCTACTGGTGGAGCTCAGGGAACCATATGGAATCCCAGGGATCGGATCGGGGTTGGCTGTGTGAAAGACAAGCATTCTGACTGCTGTACTATTTCTTCCACCCCCCTTTTATTTTTCTAAAACACTTTGCTTATATGCCTGACACATCACTGAATATGGGGTGATATAAACCACTCACATTATTCCATCATTATAGTTTTCTAAATTTATATGCACATTATGGCAGCACCTTATTAGTGTTTACTTTTAACTGTGCTTACCATAGTGCTTATATTATATTAACACTTTGTCTATAGTCTTGAATAATTATTGAAACTATATGTATATTTTGGGATTACACCGGTGATGCTAAGGAGTTGTTCCTGGCTCTGCACTCATTAATTACACCTGGTAGTGCTTGGGGGGACCATAGAGAATCTTATAGAACTAAACTCAGGTTGGGGGCATGCAGGCCTTAACTGATGTACTATCTCCAGCCCCAAATTATAATATTTAAATGAAAATTTTTGGTGTATTTTGGTTGCTGTTTATTTGATGGTCCACATCTAGCAGCATTAATTGCCTATTCCTCCTAGCTCTGTGCTCAAGGATCACTTCTGGCACTACTCAAATCATATGCAGTGCTGGGGATTGATTTGGGGTTCATTGCACTCTATCTGTCTGTCCCAAAATGAAAGTTTTATCAGTTTCCTGATACAGTCTTTAGTCCTGGTTCTCTGTACAAGTTTCCCTCTGATATCTTTTTTAATATAGTTCTGCTACATTTTCTTAGCTCCTTTTCTTCTGCCCATGAGCATAAGATTTATTTCTTTCACTAATTGCATCTTTAGTAAACTAATATAGCATGATTTACACCTCTCGTTTATTTATTTTAGGTCACTGGCTCTGTTCAGATCAGAGAGCCCCCTCAGAGACCAGAGAGAGGTAATATAACATCTTCACAACTTCTAGATATGAACCCCAAGGAGAATCAAGTACTGTTAAAGGATATCAAGATTGAGCCCCCAGAACTTCTGGCTAATGATTTCAACATGCCCCAGGTGGAACCAGTTGATCTTTCTTTTCACAGACCCAAGACTCCTCTCCAGCCTGCCAGCATGCTAAAAGCTCAAATATGTTCTCCTAAGTCACAACCTACTTCTCAAATCCTGTTAGTATCCACTTCAACATCAAACACAAGCACATCAACAAATATCTCTACTCCAGGCTATGTCCTGGCATCGCAGAACGAAGGTAGTCAGTCCATCTTACATGTGATACACACCATCCCTGCAGTCAGTCTACCAAATAAGATGAACAGACTGAAAGCCATCCCAGTGGTAGTGCAGTCTTTGCCAATGGTGTATACTACTTTGCCTGCAGATGGAAGGTCTGTGGCCATTACAGTCCCACTCATTGGAGGAGATGGCAAAAATCTTGGATCAGGTAAGCATCAGTGTACCCCTTTCATGGAACTTTTTGACTTCCTCCATCATTACCTCATCCTTTTTCTATCTGTTTTAACTCGTTCAATTTTTTTTAGTGAAGTAATACAGTTTTATTGAATGACATTTACTTAGAAAGATGTGAGGGGAGAGAAAGAGAGGATTAGGAATATGTGTTCAAGAGAGAACATGGACTTCTCCTGAGTGGAAAAAGCAAACAAGCAAAAATACCCAAAAAGCAAAAAAATAATAAAGACTATAAAAAGAACAAAAATCATTCAATTTGCTGCTCCATGGATAAATCTGGAGGTTTTCATACATAGTGAAGTCAACCAGGAGAGCGACAGATATAGAATTATCTCTCTCATATATGGTATATAAAGAAACATAGTAGGGACAAAACAAAAGACAAAAAAGCAGAATCTAAGAACTACTGAACAGTACTGAGCTTGCCTTGGCATAGAGATATGGAAAGTAAAAGGAGAGTATTGTTGAGTTGTGAACCCTGAGAAAACAGTGGAGGAAAACAGATACTCTGGTTGGGGTGTGATGTAATATTTTATTCACAAACCCTGTCATTGATACCAATGTGAAATTATAAATCACAGAGGCTAAATTTTTTTTTATATTTACAAATTTTTGTGCTTGGGTATCAACTGTACAATGATCAAACACCCATCCCTCCACCAGTGCCCATTTTCCACCACCACGGGTCCCAGTATCCCTCCCACCCTCATCCCCCTGTCCCACCCTGCCTCTGTGGCAGGGTCATTTACTTTCCATTGATCACTTTGCATATAAGAAAATGTTGCGCGGCCGCTTAAAAATGTCCTGGTACCCGCATGCCAGAGCCATGCTTGTAGAAGCTCATGGTCACCAGGATTCCATCTGGAGAAGGTGGGATGGCAGCACCTACCCCATCTAGGACCTCCCGGTGATATCGGCTCTGTTTGGGGCCTGGAGCATTCTCCGGGAGCAGTGGGGCCCTCCAGCCGGTTTTCTTCTTTGTTGCTGTGTGCTGTAAGATGGCACTGGGGGGCGAGTTGTGGGTGTGACTTCCAGAATCAGAGGTTGCCTGGGAGCCGGGGCGGCCCCACTGCAGTTCAGAAAATAATGTCCTGGTACCCTCATGCCAGAGCCATGCTTGTAGAAGCTCCTGGTCACCGGGATTCCATCTGAGAAGATGAGGCTAAAATATTTTTAAGAAAAAAATTAAAAAGTAAAATTACTAAATATGTTTAGTCTATACTTCTCAAAACACATCTTTGAGTGAAACAATAGTTATCATCTTAGAACTTTATTATAATACTTGTCAATAATTTTTAAGAATTTTAAAGCTAGTGTGGCCAAGAAAGTAGATTGTAACCATTTGAGATCACTCAGGCTTCCCAAAACAAAGTACATAATGAGGCAGTAAGACAACCACAGAATCGTGTATATTACCCCACAGAGGAAAATAAGTAAGTGCCCAGTTATTGCACCAAGGAGGTGATTCATATTGGGGTGAGGAGCAGGAATAGCAGAATAAACAAGGAAGATTTGATACCCATCACCTGATATGGTCGCCTGAACCTGACCAGGTTTGATCCCTGAACACAAAGCCAGGAATAGGCCCTGAGTGCTGCCAGGTGCTGCCTCAAAATTTTAAAAATCATTTTAGTGAATGATGCTCAATCAGTGCACTAGCCAACTACTACCACCCCCACCTTATTATGTTAAGTTTTTTGTGTATGCAAGTTTTGAGGTGATCGAGGAGACTGTTGACTAAGATTTTAGGGATAAAGAAACGATCAGTAGTTCATAATGTAGAAAATTTCAGGGTTTTTTCCAACATAGATTGAAGGGAAGAATGCATATATGTAGTAAAAATTTCTAAGGGTTTTATAAATATTTATTTTATCTCTCACTCATTCTACTTAGGAGCACAAAATGCTAAGATGATTTCATATCTGGGGTGAGTCGGGATATTGATTTTAGGACTTCTTTTGAATATGCAATTTGCATATTTATTTAAATCATTGAAACTGACTTTTCAGCAGACTCTCTCATGGGAGCTGGAAATAATTAACTGAATAATTACCAAGACACTCCCTGTCCTAAAGAAAGTTACTATTCTATTTAAATCATTGTCCTATAAATGCTTATTCTAGTTATTCTAGTTATAACAGAATATCCCTTACTCACTATTCTTTCAGAGAAATTTCTGGTTTTTCCTATGCTAATATTTTAAAAAAATCTCTTCCACACACTTCTTCCATCTTTGCTTTTTCTTTATTTCTGCATATTTCTGCTAATTCTGATTGTGAAATAAACTGGAAAACTGAAAATCATGATTGCTGAGGCAGTATATTTGTACTCCACCTTGTTCTTTTTCTTTGCTTGCAGTGAAAGTTGACCCCGTATCTATGTCTCCACCGGATTTCCCTAGTGACAGTGAAGACAGTACAAATGAGAGTGGATATTCTGTCTTGCTGGGTATTCAGGGAAAATTGAAAGAGTGAGTATTTTTTTCTTTTCTTTAGGTCTGTTTCTCTATATATCTTCAAGTAAAAGTGAAGTGACTTCTCAAACATAATAATAAGAATTTGGGGACATCAAAATACAGATAAATTGCCTTGTTATTGAAGGTAAAATTTTGAGTGCATACATAAATATGGGCACAAATGTTGTGTAAAGTTATGTTCTAATTTTAAATAATTAATTTTACCCTTAAATATTTTAATTTCTTAAAAATTATAGTTATATCTCACCACAAATAAAGTTTATACTTGTAAACTATAATTTATAAATTATAATTATATCATCATAATGTTTATGATGTTGGCTGTAATGGAGTAATTGGCTTATGTGTGACCCATGTTGAATTAAAAAAAACATTTCTCTAAACATTCTAAACATTCTCTAAGAATGAGGCTTTAGACTGAAATTTTCACACTAATTGGGAATAAAAACCACCCAAATTAATCATATATACTTAAAGAGAATTGCCTAGCTGAATTCTTAATTAATTTTTCCCCTTCTGGTGGGCCCAGTGTTAAATTTGTATAAATTAACTATATATGAGGTGGTCTGTATGTAAGCCTATTTATTTATCCTCTACATTAAAATAAATTTTACCCTAAGTCTGTTTCTTTATTCAGACCAGCATCAATGACTGAAGAACAGAGAAAAGAATCCTTTGGTTTAAAAAGAAGACGGATTCACCAGTGTGACTTTGAAGGATGCAACAAAGTGTACACCAAAAGCTCTCACCTGAAAGCCCACCATAGAATTCATACAGGTCTTCCTTCCTCCATGCCACCACCAACATATACACACATACGCTTGTGCACAGGGGCATGCACAGACAGTCTGTACATCATAGGAAGAGAAGGAAGTCTTGAAGCAAAGTCTGATTCATTTGTTCTCGTGTGCACAGGCTCCATTCATATATTTTCCCTTTATGTCTTAACCTACTAAAGTAACTTCTAGGAAAACACCAAGTCTAGGAAACACTAAGTCTAGTGTCTACTGAATAGTCATCTTCCTCAGTGAGTGCCTGTGAATCTTTCAAATTAGGAAGTCATAAGTCCCAGGCAGCAAGGACATTGCTACCAGAACCCCCAGGTTTTACTAAATCACTGTATCACTGTATCACTGTCATCCCATTGTTCATCGACTTCCTCGAGCAGACACCAGTAACGTCTCCATTGGACCTAGCCCTGAGATTTTTGGAAGTGCCCCATTGGACGCTCTTTCAGGGTCAGGGGAATTAGACCCATCATTGTTACTGAGTTTTGGCATATCAAATATGCCACGGGGAGCTTGACAGACCCTGTTGTACGGGCAGGATACTCTTGGTAGCCAGTGCGGTTCTCTGAGAGCGACAACTATACAATACGAGGTCTAAAACCAAGGAGGTTGGTTTTATAGTCTCTGGATCTTAGCCGTTGATGGGATTACACAGCGCCCAGGGGCAGTTGGTGGGTGTAACTGTCTAGCTACTGGAAGATGGGGGATCTGGGTGGAGGAAGCGCAGTCCCGATCTGAGCAGGCTTGGAGATCTCAGCCCCAGGTCCCGCACACCTGGGTTCCTCTGCCAGTTCCTTTACTAAATATTGAAAAGAATTTTAAAATCAGTGAAACTAAACTCTTTATTTCATCAGCATTCACCAACCTATAAATTACCTTTGTTCATATTAGTTAAAAGACTTAAATTAACAAAAAATAAGTAAAACAGACTTGGAGATTTTGCCAACCTGGGTATGGGGTGATGGTGGTATCAGCTTCAGCTGAAGAATCGTCACTCAACTTTTTGAAAATTTGTTTAAATCAGGTTCTAAACAAGGCCCATACACTAACAGTCAATATGTGGAGTCAAATATGCAAAAGAAATGGGGGAAAATGTCACTGGCCAGAATGCAAAAGCTGTGAGAATGGAATGAGCTTGTTCTGCTCTGAAACCTGACAGAAAATCTAGCTTGGACATGGGATATTGAGTGCAATGGTTGATGGGGAAAGCAATAAAGTTCAAGAGTGGCTTTTATAGTGATCTAGGCAAATGGTGATAGAGCCTGGTTAGGATGTTAACAACGACTTTGGAGAAAAGGAAATGTATTCCTAGTCAACAGAACAAATACTCCTGCTTCTGAAAATGAACTACAAGGCTAGAGAGATAGAACAGTGGGTAGGGCCTTGCAGTGGATGATTTGAGTTCGATCCCTGACATTCCATATGGTCCCCTGAGCGAGCACTTCCAGAATTAATTCTTGACTGCAGAGCTAAGAGTAACCACTGCATATCACTGTATGTGGCTCCCAAACAAACAAAAGCAGGTTCATTGCAAGGATTCTTAGAGAGCTGTCTATGGTAAATATTCACTTAACGGAGAAACCTGAAGCTTTTGCTCATCTGAATACGAACACTAGCATGCAATTCAGCCATTTGTATTCTCTGAGATCACACTAATACAAAACAGGAAATACAGACACAGAAGTATGTTTAATGGAAACTGTCCTTTAAAAGCCTTCGGTGGTTTTTTCATATACAATTTCATTCTCTTGTGCTCTTTATTTATCATTGATTTTTTTTACTTTCTCTTAGACATCAGTTATTTTTTCTTTTTTTAAAAAATTTTATTGAGACACCGTGAGATGCAGTTACAAAGCTTTCATGTTTGAGATTCAGCCATACATACAATGATTGAACACCCATACTCTACCAGTGCCATTTTCCACCACTAATGTCCCCAGTAACCCCCACACCCTCCATCCCAGTCCTCATCCGGCCTCTATGGTAGACAATTTCCCCAATACTCTCTACTTTTTGGGCATTATGTTTTGCCCAAATTTTCCCACCATCATTTGAGTCTGCCTGCCAGGGGCAGACGCTAGATAATTTATTTTCCATTACTCATTTTAAAGGCTGGAGCGATAGCAGGGCTGGAGTGATAGCACAGCGGTAGGGCATTTGCCTTGCACTCAGTCAACATGGCCGACCCGAGTTCAATTCCTCCACCCCTCTCAGAGAGCCCAGCAAGCTACCGAGGGTATCTTGCCCACACGGCAGAGCCTGGCAAGCTACTCGTGATGTATTCGATATGCCAAACACAGTAACAACAAAGTCTCCAGTGGAGACGTTACTGGACCTGCTCGAGCAAATTGATGAACAATGGGAGGACAGTGACAGTGACTCATTTTAAATAGATTCTGGGATCCTACATTGTAAATAGCTGGGTTCCAGAGACATCTCTGTAGGTCACTAATCCATTTGGGAATTCAGTTAGGAGTCTCTGGACTAGGGCTGTTGGTGTACTAAGATGGCGCCCTGAGGCACATTGTGGGCATGACAGCCAGGCCAACGAGCAGGCGGGGAGCGAGGGAGGGACAGCCCAGTACCTTTGCTGCCATGCAGCATGGAGATTTGATCTTGGAACCTACATACCTGGGCCTTGCTTGTGAAAGCTCTTGGTCACCGAGACTCCATCTGGAGTAGGTGGGGAGACTGTACCTACTCCATCTGGGGTGCCCTGGTGAAATTGGCTCGGTATGGGGCCCAGAGGAATCACTGGTGCTATGGTGCCTTCTGGGACGCTGCTGTGTCTCTGTACCAGGGCTGTTGGCACGCTAAGATGGTCAGTTATTTTTTCTAAAGTATATCATTCCTTTCTTTAAATAATTATTTTATTGAGTATATAGATGCAGTGACCAAGTTACATTACAGTTGTAATATTACAGTTGTGATGTTACAGCATGGTAGACATCCCAGTCTACTACTTATTAGCTGAAACTTGTTCCTTTAGTTTCAGTTTCCTTACCTAGAAAAACTAGTAGTATAAAACATATAGAATAGTATTGGCATATCTTAAATTCTCAACAAATGTCATCAATTATTAACATTCTTTTAAATCCAAATTCACTTGGACCACCTTGGGTTTTTAAACTCTTGATTTAATTTTTCCTAATTTTTTGCTTTGGAAGGCAATTAAAATTATATAACCTTAATATATACAATTTGGTGATTTCGTGGAAGGGCCATGGGGCTTGCCAGGCTCTGCCGTGTGGGCGGGATACTCTTGGTAGCTTACCGGGCTCTCCAAGAGGGGCGGAGAAATCGAACTCGGGTCAGCCGGGTCAGCCGTGTGCAAGGCAAACGCCCTACCTGCTGTGTCCTTCCAGAGAAATAGCAGCGTCCCCCTTAGGTCTCTTGAGCACTCCTCAAGAGGATACAGATATGGCAAGCTCCCTGTGGCATATTCGAAATGCCTAACACAAGTCTCACAATGGAGAAGTTATTGGGTCCGCTTGAGCAAATCGATGAACAATGGGAGGACAGTGACAGTGACAGATGTATAGATAGATAGATAGATAGATAGATAGATACACATATAGATGTAGATATAGATATATAGATATATTTGCACATTCATTCACATTCACACTCATACACTGTGTAAATATGTAAGGTGGTTGGTGTGAATGAACGCATTTGTGATAAATATGTTATATTTTATATTTTATAATAAATTTTAATGGGACTGGAGAGATAATAGTGAATAGATCATTTTCCCTGCTTGCTGTTGACCTGGTTTTCCTTCTTGGGCACCCTATGTGGGCTTCTGAACCCCGCCAGGAGTGATATCTGAGCACTGAAGAAGGAGGAAGCCCTGAGCACCACCATTTGTGACCCAAAAACCAAAATATATAATAGATAAATAAAATATTTACCTCAAATAATCTTTTGAAGATCCATCACCTTACATGTTTACCTACTTTCTGTAATAAAAACACCTAAGATATACTTTCTTGGTATTTATTAATACATCAAGCAAACACCAAGAATACTGTATAATAGTATTAACTATAGTCACATTGTTTTGTACTAGGACTTATTCTGTGAAACCAAATCTTTGTAGCCACTGACCAATATCTAGTAACCCTTTTGAACCCCCTCGTTTATATTCTATTTAATAAAATTGACTATTTTATCCTGCATACTGTTAAGAGATATGTAGTATTTCTTTTTTTATCAGGAGCGGAGCACAACAGTGGTGCTCAGGGCTTACTCCTGACTCTGTGCTCAGGGATTACTCTTTATGGGTTCAGGGGACCATAAGAGGTGCAATAATAGAACCCTGGGTCAGCCATGTACAAGGCAAATGCCCTACCTCCTGTACTATCTCTCCAGACCCAGTGTTTCTAACTTAGCTTATTTAAAATGACATTTTATTGCTACTATTTTATATAACTTAGTGATATATGTAAATTTAAAATCTTCATTATCCATTTATCTTCCATTTGACACTTAGGTTGCTTCACTGTCTTGACTATCATGGATAATGCCGCAATGAACATAGAAGAGCAGATACAGATTTCCTCTCCATACATAGCCAGAAATGGAATTGCTGAATGATATGTTAGTTTTATTTTTATTTTTCAGGAGCCTCCATACTTTTCCATAAGATTGTATCAATTTATAATCCTACTATATGTACAAAGGTTCCCTTTCTCCTCATTCTCTCCAATATTTGTTATATTTTATCTTTTCATTGATGTAACACAATATACAAAAAATATTTAACTCTTTAAATTTTTTTTCTATTTTAGGCACTGTGATTTATTGTACTGTTAATAGACTTTTATGCCTGCAGAGTTCCAGTACCACACCTTCCACCAGAGTGTTCTGCTTCCTTTCACCATTGTCTCCCCCCTTATCCTACCCGTCCTCCAGTCCCTCTGCCATAGTAAACACACTTCTGAGGTCTAACATATATCCGATAATATCTTATTGTATATTAGATTT